AACAAATTGAAATCACATGCTTTGGCTCTTCAACATCCTCTTTCTTCTTCAGATTGCATGCAACATTATTTTACTTTTGAGTAACATTTGCTCATAAACCTATGTACATTTAAGTCAAAATTGAGTTTTATCTCACTTTTAGGACCCTTCCATATTTACCCTTAACTACAATTTTTCTCTTACTCACACAATAAGTGGCAAAAAAAAGCAAATTTCCCGCTATTGTAGTGCACATATTCTCTAACCTACTCGCCCTACACCTTCGACCATTACTTATAACCCTCTTCTTCAAACCCTCACGTCAACTTCACTTTTTCTCTCACCCTCTTATTATTTTTGAACAATAGAATTGAATAGATTATCAGAATTATCCAATTGCAAGTGAAACTTATGTTAAGCACACAACAAAATAGACACCAAAAGTTTACATGAAACTCTGAAGGAAAATATGAGGGCAAAAGTGAATATGAAAATTGCCTGTTGGAAATCTTCAATGTGGGTTTAAATTGAAGAGAAACGTAGAACAGTAGTTTTCTAAGTATTTTTCTTTGAGAAATTGAGTAGGTGAACTTTTCTCAAATTACATGTTAGTGAGCGCAAAACGTAAGATATGTTAATATTTTAGGAAAACTTTAGTGGGTTCAAACATGGATATATCTCTGCACACGTCACTCATCCGGTACTGTTTATGCAAAATCGTCTCTTTCACCGAGAGGGATTGATTTGTGAGAAAAATATATGAATGAAGGAACCTAGAGGGGCAAAAGGCAAGCATCGTATACGTATGCATTTGGACTTGGTCGGCAGAATTATTGCACTCCAAAGGTCTAAAAGGGTGCTTATAAAAATTAATGTGCAATTGACTATCTTAGGGAACCAAACTCTTAGCTAGGTTGAAGTCTGATTTCATCGGAACAAAATCACCTGATAAATTAAGAAGTCACACGAGAAATCAATTGATTTAACCCGTGAATGAAGGGCGTGACAGTTTCTACTCGCCGCAAGAATTCCTAATAAACATTTGTGCATATGTAGCTCCTGACATCGCACCAAAGTATTTGTCATTCGTACCTCATGTTTGAATGATGAGGGCCACAAAAGAACAAATCATTCTCTAATTAAATGAGACACTCATTACTTGTACACGTCTCTAAGCAACCAAGCAAAAATATTAGTTTAAATATAAAAATGTGGGTCATCAAGAAGAATGGCTTTTGATTATGTCTGAAAATCAAAGATGGCCAAAACTAAAATGTCTCTTCAGCTGATCAAAGATTGGCTTCCCCACCAGAGCATGCAATTTTCATTTTTGGCTCCTTAATATTTTTTATATTATGTTTTGCCAATCAGTAGTTACCCAAGTTGCTTTCTTGTGTGAGTGGAAAATACCTATGCAAAACAACTCAGCTGGTGAACAAACTAAAAAGTCCGCAAGTTCAATGCATTTGATGATTGAAGAGAATAAGTTAACATCGAAAAGACATCAGGGCCGCCGGAGAGTTACTTCCCTTTTTTTTCTTGATTATTTTACTTAGGAAGAGGGTAAATTTGCGAGCCGTCGTTGACTTTCTGACCGTCCTTGCACACCTACCGTTAGGATGAGACGCATGATCTAACCGGACACCAGCAGGCTCAAGGTTCGGAGACATTTTCTTGCTTACGTGGATTTGGAGTAAACTAATTCCGTAAGAAATGACAAATAAGAGCGTCAAGTGAGACCGGATGGATTCCGATCCAATTTTTTCTATGTTTTGTGAAGAATCTTGAGGAGATAAGCGACCGCGGAACGATCGGAACCGCTTTTCCCACCTAAAATTTGATTAGAAGCGTTCGGTAGTGTTAGATGCTGTTAGAGAAATGCTTTCGGTTGACGGGATGTACGAAAGGGGGGGACAAGGAAAGAATTGGCGGATAGACAGCATCCATCTGAGCCAATAATGATTTGGGATTGTTGAGGTCGGCTTAACATTCCTACCTATTATTGCTTGTCATGTTCTGCGACGCCTGGCTCTGAAGTTGAGAATTTGTCGTGCGGAAGTGCAAAAGTCAACAGTGATGATGCCCTAAAGAATTGGCCTGCTAAGAGGGCCCGAACTTTATTGTCTGGGGCAATAATTATTCGCATTTTCAAACGAGCCATGCGTCCTCTGTCCTCCTCATCTCTTTGTCTCCTCTTAAACGAGAGAATACCCTCTGTTCGCTTTATATTCAGAAGATTCCAAAGTCCGAATGAGATCTTGAATGAAAACTTTTAACGTCGTGCTTAGGACGATGGTCAAGAAAATGTAAGAGCTCTTAGGTTTTGAGATAAATTTGATATATGTCCTTCTAACACCATTAAGAAACGAGAATATCCGTTAGAACAAGACTGGGGCGCCATAAGAGGGCTTTTGTCAATATTATAATATTTAAATATTAAATCACATTTTCACCTAACAACTTAACTTTAAAATAATTGATAGTGGTCCTACAAAATCTCACTATCGAACGAATGAAACCTACCTCTGGCAATTTATCAAGTTGCTTCCTTAACTCGCTAAACTTGGAGGGGCTATCGAATAAGGCGTTCAAGTTGGTGGTCTCGCTCTTGGGACAAGCTCCATCTCATGATCCACCGATTGACGAGGTGGGAATTCCTCAAAAGTTTTTCTTGCATCGCAGATTCATACTCGAGTAACACATTCCTAATATCTTTTGGAATTGTCTTAGCCATATCCTCATTCACAGGGGGAAAATTATCCAAAAAGTCCTAAACCTATTCTACGGCGGTCAATTCAATTCTAAACTTTTCAATTCTATCAATTTAGTCATAAACCTTTTAATCATTTGCCAATTTAGTCATAAACTTTTCAATTGTGCCAATTTAGTCCTAAACATTTTGAGGATTGCCAATTTAGTCCTAAATTTTTCTATGATTTACCAATTTAGTCATTTCGTTCAATTTTGACCGGAAATCGCTGATGATTTAATCAACTTTGACCGTTTTACATGACATGACTAGCGTTGACGTGAATAATATTTTACATTTTTTTATTAATTTTTTGAATTTTTTCTTTTCTTTTTTTCATTCTTTTCTTCTTTCCTACTTCCTCCGGCTAGCGAGGTCAACCCTCGCCTAACAATAGCGAGGTCTAGCCTCGCCTGAGGTTGAGCCTCATCGGGGACGAGCAAGGCTAGCCCTCATCCGGCTGGCAAGGTCGACCTCTCCAATGGTCAGCGAGGCTTGACCCTGGCTAGATTCATCGAGGGTGAGCCTCACTGGCCATCCCCAAGGCCCATCAACTAGCTAGAGGAAGAAGAAAAGAAAAAAAAAGAAAGAAAATAAAAATAAAAAATCGTAAGAAAATTTCCATATTAGCATCGGCCGTTCTATGGTCGTGCCATGTAGGACGATTAGCACCACGTCAGCGATTTCTATTCAAAATTGGTCAGAACAACTAAATTGGTAAATTATCAAAAAGTTTTGGGCTAGATTAACAAATTATCAAAAAGTTTATGACTAAATTGGCATAGTTGAAAGGTTTAGGACTAAATTGACAAATCGTCAAAATGTTCAAGATTAGACTGGCACAATCGAAAATTTTAGGACTAAATTCACCGTCTTACAATAAACTTAAGATTCTTTGGACAATTTTTCCGATTGGGAAAACAAGGTGCATGGATTCTTGGCGCTTCATCCAAGCTCGAGTTGAAGTCCCGACATCATCGCGGGGTTGCTATTCTTGCTGGGGTCACCTGTCATCTCTTGGCCCCCGGCCCTTGGGTGAGCAAAATGCATGGTCGATCCCCCCATGAAAGCAAAGAGTCCACCAATAGTATCGCCAACACACGGCGCTTGTCTCGGGAACTGGACTCCATGAATGATCGAGAAGTCATGCAAAGGCATAGGCGTGAAAGTGGGCATCCCCTATCCACCGTCTTGGCATATACTATTTTGTTGCTTGGCTTCAAGTACACCCATAAAGTTATATATTGCACTTGAATCAACGACAGTCTGTGTGAACGCCATCGTCCAATATGGCATGGCTGACGCTAATGTAAATAATTTTTTACGGATTGTTTTTAATTTAACCGATATTTTTGGAACGGCTAAGGTCGTACCAAACCCGTCCCATTAACTTTCTATTACTTCCCAAACCCTTCCAAATTCGTTACATGTTTCGATATAATATTCCAAAGCAACCGAGTTCCCATCAAGTACAGCAAGTATTGAATCAAAGCTCATGCATTGTGAATCTCCGATTAGAAGACTAAAAGGTCCAAAGTACAAGATGGAAAGAGTTTAAGATCAATCAAAATGTTAGAAGTATACGAGGCAAACCCTCTGTTCTGACGCACTTGCATGGCTTAACTCCATTCCCTTTCTTCTTCCATCTTCCATCTGATCACAGAAGACAACAACAGTAACCCCAGAAGCTGAACGACGAAACAATTGACAAAATCAAGCAACAAAATCTCATGAACTCATCCCACAATGACTTGGCCATTCTTGATTGTTGCTCTGCCCACTTGAAGCTGTCAACATCCCCAGTTATCACGACCAACTTTCTGGTATTCCTCAAGTAAAACCCACCCATCGATGAAAAGGAAACTAGCGATTCAGCGGAAACTTTTGACCTTTTGGAAACATTGCCTAATTCTCTCGATTCTCCATCATTTCATTTGCCATTCGGGGAGCAACCACAGATGTGATGAGATTTTTTTTTCTTGTAAATTAGTTTACTGCATGAGTGAGTAGACGATCTACTCATACCACCAGTTGCTGCTACCCTAGTTTTGCCCTCGGCGGCAATTTTTCTACGTGAAAACAAAAGAGCTGACTGGACTACTGTGGCTGAGCCCTGCGCGTGCGGTTGCCAACAAAAGGTTGCTTGGGCCCAATTGTGGCCCACTTTGAGCCAGCATCGTACGTATCGCTCGACTGACTGCAACTCCACCTCCAACTCCATGCACGCAAACACGAAACTCCCCCCTCTATAAGTTCACCTGCTCTCCGATGAAGCCGCTTCTAAATCTCTCCTAATCCCAACAGATTTCACCTTTCACGGGAGAGAGAGAGAGAGAGAGAGAGAAGGAGACATTATCCTCGTACAAAAGAAATTTTGTGATTGGTCACTCTCTCCTTTGCTCTTAGGTTAAGCCAATGTCAATGTCTGAAATTGGAGGTGTTGCTTCCCTCCTCTTGCTCTTCTTCCATGTCGTCGTGTTTTCAGGTGAGGCGTTATCTAACTTAAGATTGTTCTGTTCAATGTTCACCTTCCTTCACAGTGCTAACCGTGCTCCATTCTAAGGTTTCTTTTGATTGAATTTCTCCGAAATTTGCAGGTGTGGAGTCAGCAACATTCACGATCCTCAACAAATGCACCTACACCGTCTGGCCCGGCATCCTCTCCGGCGCTGGTACCCCGCAGCTCTCCACCACCGGATTCACCCTCCAGCCCGGCCAATCCAACGCCATCTCCGTGCCCGCGTCCTGGTCCGGCCGCCTGTGGGGCCGCACCCTCTGCGCCCAGAACGCCACTGAAGGCCGATTCGTCTGTGTCACGGGGGACTGCGGCTCCCCAACAGTCGAGTGCTCGGGGTCGGGCGCGGTGCCCCCCGCCACGCTGGCCGAGTTCACCCTCAACGGAGCGGGTGGGCTCGACTTCTACGACGTCAGCCTAGTCGACGGCTACAACCTCCCCATGTCAGTGGTGCCGCAGGGTGGGAAGGGCGGGAACTGCACGTCCACGGGCTGCGCCGCCGACCTGAACACCGGGTGCCCCAAGGAGCTCCAGGTGGACTCTGACGGCGGCGGGAGCGTGGCTTGTAAGAGCGCGTGCAACGCGTTTGGGGACCCGAAGTACTGCTGCAGCGGGGCCTACTCGACACCGGCCACATGTAAGCCGAGCGCGTACTCGGAGTTCTTCAAGACGGCGTGCCCGAGAGCCTATAGCTATGCGTACGACGACGGGACGAGCACATTCACTTGTGCATCCGCCGATTACGCCATCACTTTCTGTCCTTCGCCATCGACTAGGTGAATTCTTCTTCACCATCCATTATACTGCCAATTCACATACTTGCCATTTGAATTCATCGTACGATTAAAAATTTCTGTCTTTACGTAACTGTCATGAATTTCAGTGGAACCTTTTTGAAAAAGTGTAATTTCTATGCTGACTATCACTCATGGAACGATTGTTGGTGGTTGGCCCCAGCAGTGTGAAGACGGCAGGCGATCAGTACGCAGAGGCGGCGCCGGCATCCGACTCGTTGGCCCCCGCGGTGTGGAGCGCATTGCAGGCCTCTGCATCCGCCCGCACGGGATCGACGCCCCCACCCTTCGTCGCCCTGGTCGCTGTGGCGGCAGTTTGGCAGTTGTTGCAACTACTGTCTCCCTGATCACTGCTCGCGACGGCGACGTTCGGCCGGACGTTTACTCCCAAACCTTTTCTATTTCCCGGTGGGCCCTTGCGCTCGGAAGGCCCACAACAATTTTGGTAGACAACAATTTCAGAAGACAACATCCGCAACGTCGTCGAAAATGTCATTTTTCTTCTTGATTTTCAATCTTATTTGATTCCGGCAACGTAAATGGCCGGTGATATTTGGTTTTATGTGATTTCTTTTTATTAGGAGTTGGTAAAATATTTGTAATTTTCTTAGTGGGGGGGTGTGGATTTTGTATGGGGTTCTGTTTTTTGGGTGGAAGATGTGATGGGAATGGCTTCATATGCACGTAAATTGTACGTCATTGGTCACGCTTTCTCTTCATAAGAAAGAAGACGCCATGACTCATGCTGTGATCCATTCTAATTCTTGGCCTTTAATTTATTAGTGTTGGTTTAGAAGAGTAGACCTAGCAACAACAATCATTAGGTCAAATTGTAATATATATTGGTTGCTTATTTTCTGATGTTATCAGAATTGAGTAGCGTTCTCATTACTATTATTATATATTTGCATTACTCCAATGTGAGTATTAGGGTTAGGCACATGGACACAACGAAATAGAGAGGTAAAGCCGAGAAAGAGAAATCGAGACCAAGGTTTTATCCTGGTTCACAAGGGCTACATCCGGTAGAGGATTCCATTATAATCAGCACCTTTCACCTCTATGTTACAAGAGGAAGATATAATGTGTGTCTGTGTACATATATATATAGGCGGTACAGTAGTTATTTATCCACCCAAGCTCAAACTACCGATAAAATACGGACCTAAACTATAAAAGCCCTCCAGCGGTTAGGGGGAATTCAAAGTTCCCTCGGTGGTGGCGGCACTAACAGTGGGTAGAATTGCTGTCGCCGGTTGTGTTTAGTGGAAAGAGAAGGGAGGAGAAGAACAAGAGATGAAAAATAGAAAAGAAAAGGGTAAAATAAATAAAAAGAAAAAATAAATAGATCTCAGCATTTCAAGAGCACTAACATAAATGTTGACAATCATGGGGAGCAAGTAAAATTATGATCCCCCAAATTATTGACTCTAATTTCAAATGAGGAAGTCAAATGTAAAAGCTTGAGTCATTAGGTGAAGAGAGCTTAATGTAAGATAGGGCTATTATGAATCTCGTATGGCATTGGACTCTCAATTCATGTGGACTTTTTCTACAAAAATAACTTTTATATGTATCATATAACTTGAGCTATCCTATCATTATAATGTCATTATCGGGGTCCTTTTCTGTTGAAACTCATTTTCAGCTTGGTGGTTCATGCGAAGCTTCACCTCCTCCTTCCTTGTGATCTGAAAAATGGATAAAAGGGGGTGGCGTGTGGATAACTGGACACGATATTGTCTTAACCGCAATTTATACGTTAGAATCTGTCCTCAAATAAATAATTTAACTGAAAGAGGATCAAGACATCCGATTAGTTTTTACTATCACGTTGAATTTGAACGACTCACCCTAAGTCGAAAAGTGGAGACTTGATTTCAAAGAGGAAATTACCAAAAAAAAAAAGTCCTAAACTCCTATTGCACTTATACCAATTCAATCCTAAACTTTTCTATTTGGTCAATTTATTCCTAAACATTTTGACAATTTGTCAATTGAGTCATTCCGATCAATTTTGATCGGAAATCGTTAACTTGGATGCCAGTCATTCTACGTGGCATGGCCGGCACTGACGTTGACAATTTTTATAACTTTTTTTAAAATTTTTTTTTGAAAGTTCGTGGCCGGAAAGGTCGCGATGGCCCTCGCCAGATCTAGGCAAGCGCCACCTCGCCCGAGGCTGGCGAGGCTGCAATGGCCTCGCCCGAGGCTTTCATAGTCTCACCGGTGGTAGGTAAGGCCTTTGTGGCCTGGCACAATGAAAAAAAAAAAGGAAGTAAAAACAAAAAATTGTAACAGCTTGAGTCCGGCCACGTCAGCGATTTTTGGCCAATATTGATCGGAATTACTTAATTAACAAATTGTCAAAAAGTTTATAATTAAATTGGTCAAATTGAAAGGTTTAGGACTAAATTGGCATAAGTGCAATAAATTTAGGACATTTTTTTGTAATTTTTTCTATTTCAAATTACTTAGACCGCCACTAATCATATAACGAAGAGACTTCTTCTTTCAACACTCTTCACGATAAGAACCCGTTGACGCTGTTTGATACCTCAGACGTTGTCATCATGACGATGTCTCTCATTATTTGTCCCGTGGAGAAGAAAGACTCCATCTTCCAGTCGCAATCCATGATGCTCCAAGTGGTTTCTTAGCTTCTTTCAAATTATACAGCTTTATGTCTCTGGGTCTTGGCCAAGAAACATCCTCATTCCTTCCTTTTCGTGTCGAAATGGGGATATACCCAGATTTCGAAAGGGCATATAATGGTTAAAAATGCGATCGTGATGTGCAAGGATCCCTGCTTATGGGAAACCAATTGCCAGGAAAGTACATAAGTCTTTTCTGGAGGGATCCACAGTATATTATATGTTAAGGTATTAAAAATAGTAACTGTTGAAATCAGCACTGCATCATAGATTGCATAAATGACAAAGAAGAAAGAGATGTGTACACTTCAAGCTGGAGTGGGACATGGGAGCCTCATCCTGAGATAGCACGCATAGCCAAAGCGAGATAGCGAAAAGAAAGCTCAATGCAAACCCCATTAGTATCTAGTTACGTGGTTCATATCTTGTGTCCTATTTTATATTGCCTTACCATTTTCTATCGTGACTTGGAATATCACAAGCTCATCAAGTTATTATTCAAGCTTAATTGGTTCTCGAACTTGCCTCCAACCATGTCCATTTCGCACAGTGTGCGATGGGTAGTGGGTGATTTACAAGTTGGTTCTCTGGCAAGGAAGCATTCCTCACTAGGTGGTATGCATATCGAGAACGATATAAGTTCTTCAAGTAACGCCGAGAGCAATCTAGCACATAATTACAAACATGTTGATGTTCATATGGAAGTCCCGAGAAAAAGTGAGAGCGCATGAAGATGCCACACAAATTCATGTTTTGAGCAACTCTTTAAAATTAAGTATTCAAGATAATTCGATTAGAGATACCTTTACTTTCTTTGTCAAATCCATTTCCATCAATGATGATGTTCGAGATACGAAAATCGATTTATGAAGCGATTTCGCATATTCATATGGGATGTTTTGATATTTGCCTACATGCTACATAATCAACATTTGTAAATTAGTCTATATATTCCGACATTGGTCCATGGAAGACGTTACATTGCATGACATTATAAGGGAAATGGGATAATGTGAAGCAGAAAAGAATCGTTGTTCTTCACGTTGGCAGAAATTCAACGATGGTCGAACCCGGATTGAGAAAAATTTGAGATGGGCCGCTACGATATAAGCCCATTGGGCCATTTTGGGGGAGAGGGTGTTTTAGCAGTTGACCAAACCTATTACCATGTTTGATAACCTCAATTAAGTGCTGATATTTAAAAAAATTTAGCGCTGACTGAGATAGGTTCGCTTGATAACTCTTAGCATCGACTTAAAAGGATTCAAATAAGTAAAAAAGTGATTTAATATGGCAAGTTAGGAAATGTTAGGAAAAAGAAGTGCCATAACTTTTTGACGGCGCTCATTTTAATACCAAAAGTTTTCATGCTATCACTTGAGCGTCACATTGACGTAAAAACAATCGCTTAAGTGACTCCGGCGACAAATTCTTGCAATTCGTACCACGTGGCCTTTTTACTAGAATTTTTATTAATACGTGGCTTTTCTTATAATAAAGAAGTCCAAAGTGAAAAATTCTTCGTCTAACTTGGCAACGCGAGCAAATCTCTCTCTCTCTCTCTAAATTCTCTTTCATAGAGCAATTTCTAGGGTTCTTCATGGTAGTTATCATCTTCAATACACAAACAAGCTTGCTGTGTATACAATCAACCGGAATTTCTCAGCTCAACCATGCCATCCATTGAAGTAAAACCGAAGCTCCACATCCCAAGCTAATCGAATCACAATCCTCCGCTTTAAATGTCTTCCGACACCCGCGAGTGGCTCGATTCCGATCTTGCGCTCTCCGTTTCAACGGTTCCGCCATTGTGCTGGTCGTAATTCTTAGCTGGTTTTCCTCTTCCGTCGCTTTCGCGGAGACGGATCCCTATAACCGACGTTGACGAGTTTCTCTTCCACCAGGACTACTCACCGGAAGCACCACCTCCTTCGCCACCGCGTCCGCCGTTCATTTCATGCACCAATTCTTTAATTCAGGGCAAAAAGATCTGTAAACAACATTAGTTAGAGATTTAATTGCTAACTTCATCTTGCTGGCGAGCCACGTCGGATTTTCCAGGAACCCAAATCACCAATGGTACTGAGGTGGTCGTTTCTTTCAAAAGTGTCACTCAACTAACCACTTGAAAAGTTTTGACACTAAAATGAGCTCTATACAAAAGTTTTGAAACTTTTAATATCATTTTCCCAAAATGTTACAATTTGTTACGTATTGACCCATCCTCAAGGTCCATTTTTAATCAATCATTTACATGACGTTGTGAATGACACAATTGGGATTTGTTCTATGCCTTAACATTCGCACCGTGAATGACTCGAAGGAAATCCACAAATGGGAGAGAGGGATATTAAAAATCAAACTCACCATCTCTTCCAAGGCCATCTCTTCTAAAAGCTTAACTTACGAGAAGATGGGGCAGGATTCATTTTGTATCTATAGAGTGCATGAACTAAAGAATATACTCGGGTTCTTCTAATATTTTTTTGCATTGAAATCGCAATAACTGTAATGGAGCTAACTAGACATCACGAAATTACAGGACTAGCTAGTCTTTCAATAATCAAGAAAATTGCGTTTACAAAGGTGAACAAATCACCAGACAGAGGCACTTCAGAGAAACGATCTTCGATTGGACTTTGCCAAAGAGGCATTTTGTACTTTTGTTCATTTCCACATCATCAAGACGTTTTGGGCCATCAACTTTTGCAATTTCTTCCCCGTGTTGCCCAACATGCTTTGTCATCCTCCAACCTCACAAGTCACATTTTGTCTGGTCTAATATGTCAGACGCTTAATTCAATTTTCAATGTGGATAACCATAGTTATCCAAGCTCTCTGCCTAAAATTCGGTTGAGGAAGCAAGAACTGCTTGTGCAAACAAAAGGGGATTAGGCAAAATGCTTTCTCATAACTATCAACATCAACCAATAGTGGTTGACGTTAGTGCTTTATTGGATGAAGAGAGAATGCTGGGGATTTATAATAAGAAAAGGAAACAAGAAAAAAAGGTTTGATTCTCATTGAAAAGGAAAAAAGCAAGGGCAAAAAAGGAAAAAATTATCCATTGATACTTTACACCTCATAAATAGAATCGATGGAGGGCCCCATGATAGGGAAAATTCCAAATCAGTACCCAAAGTGGGGCCATTTTCTCAAAAAATGGTTCAAAGTGGACATAGTGTTAAATAAGGGCCTGAAATGCTTAATCAGTCTCAAATAAGAACCCGAAGTACT